TTAGTTTTACCAGGAGGATCACATTTAGGTTCAAATACTGTTTCTAATGAGTCCAGAAAATGAGCAACAGGTGACATTTATTAAATAGTTTTTCTTCTGAAATGGACTCAGATCTTAAGTTTTATTTCCCCCTGAGCCGTTATATGAAGGGTCTCCCCTCTTTCTCCTGTCTTCCTGTAGGTGATCGCTGCCGAGGGCGAGATGAACGCCTCCCGCGCCCTGAAGGAGGCCTCTCTGGTGATCGCAGAGTCCCCTTCAGCTCTGCAGCTGCGCTACCTGCAAACCCTCAACACCATCGCCGCCGAGAAGAACTCCACCATCATCTTCCCGCTGCCGCTGGAGATGATGCAGGGCTTCATAAAACACTGAGGAAAAACTCCTTCTATGCCCCCTCCCAAAAAAAAAAAAACACACACACCTATAGGTCAATGAGGCTTTCAGCTTTTAACCAGCAGAGCTTCTAAAGTAGCTAATTACTACTTTTATTTGATTTTAATTTTGATTTTTTTGAACTGCAACTGTTTAACTTCAACTCTTTACATATTCTGTTTTTAATTTAAAGCTCCTGCTGGATGGGTGAGCTGCCTCTGCTCTCACACGCACACATACTCCAAATCTATCCTGATATTGTAACACTGTTACCACTGCTGCCCAAACAGCAAGGGAATCATTTTCAAATGATTCATAAAACTATTAAACTCAGTATTTTAACCTCAAAGGGTCAAAAAGAGTCGTGTTTCAGCCAGTGAAAAAGATGCATCATGCTAACCGCTCTTGTTTCTTTTCTTGCAGTGCCTTGTAGAATTTTTCACACCTCTTGACCTTCTTCACTTTCCCTCACTTTAAAAACCGCAAACCTCAGAGTGACTTTTTTGGTGTTTATGTTATGGAACAACACAGAGTGATATATGATAACGGAGTGAAAGAAAACGGATGGAAGACTTCCTGCACTTAATTATAAGAAGGATTAATTGGATAATTGATCCTCTGTCAGTCTCCTGCAGGCTGGATGTCATCCATCAGTTCTGACCAGCTTTCCTGTCCCTGCTAAAGAAAGTCCCCTCAGCATGATGCAGCCCCCACTGTATTCTTACTGATGTCCTCAATCCAACAGAAACAGCTGTTTTTTAAACCAAAAGTTCTTTCTCATGGTATTCGAAATGGATTTTATTGATGCAACACTACTGGATTTTTATACGTTAAAAAAAATGTAGAATCCATTCTGCTCTACTTTGTGTTGATCCATCCCATAAAACTCCTAAAAGATCGGGGTTGTATTGGGACACATTGTTGAGAGGTTCAAGGGGTATGAAGAGTGGGCTCTGTACATAAAAACAGGGAGGACAGCCAGCACTCCTGGAAATAGATAAACTGTTACTTTAATCCACTTATAAGCTGAAAAGTTTTATGTTATCCAGCTGTAGATATTTACTATAAGCTTTCTATCAACTCACAGTATATGAAGTATTTAGTTGACAATACAGGCTTTAAATACCTGTTCTCTATTAAGCTGACAAAACCCAGAGTATATATCTAATAGTATAGTTCATTAATATCAGTCGTGCCTTTTCATTTCATCCTATCCTCAGATTTCTTACTCTTAAAATATCAGGGGCTATGAATCTTTCAGCCAAAAGCCTTAACTCACTGCCAACCAACCATCTGGGTTAATATTACACTCTTCTCAAATGTAACCCTTTTTATGCCATATTTTCTGAGTGTAACACAAACCAAAAACGTATTAACCTTTATACTAACCTGTGAAAATATAGATGCATCTTCGGTAGTTAGACTGTTAGTAAATGTAGTTTATGCATCTTGTAAGTTTTAACTGTTGTGTTTTTTAAAACGCAGATCAGCCTTTAAATTATCACCACTTCCTTTAAACCAGGATAATCAGTAAAAGCCTCCATGGATCAGAGCTGCTTTGTTTTGTTTTTTTTGGTTCACTTAGATCAATGGTCTGCAACCTTTATAATCTGAAGAGCCATTTATCCCCAATTCCATCTAAATAAAAGCAGCTTAGAGCTGAAAACATGACATCACCTTATGTTAAAACGCAGATTATTTTTGATAAATATCCTCCATAGGAAAGCTGTTACAGTTCTAAACAACCTACTGTTTTCTATTTTAGCTTTTAAAATAAGTGCAAACGAAAAGAAATCTGAAAAAAGAGAAGGCATTTTTAATTAATTGATCTTTATAAATCTCACACTGGAGAAATTCACCTCTGCATTTGTCCTTTACCCTTGAGGAGCAGTGTGCTGCGCCCTTATCAGTGTGCAAGCGCACTACTCTAACCCACTAGGCCAAAACACCCCAACAAAGGCATGGATTTTCTACTATGACCAAAAAAAAAAAAAAAGGTTTTATGATGTAATAAGAAAAATACAACAGCATACCAAGCATCTAAGACTGCTATTTGTTATTCTACCATATTCTAAATTATTAGTTAGCATCTAATCATTTTCAGCCATCATTAAGAGCCATTGCAGAGAATCCAAGGAGACATTTTGACTCCAGAGCCACAGGTTGCAGACCCCTGTCTTAGATTGACGAAAACAATTGTCTGTCCATGTTGGTTTTCTGTACCTGCAGCCTTTCACTTCTTCAGATCATTTATTTCTAGCTCACTTATGGGTATTATTTTGGGGGGGGAAAGCAAACTTGTAAATCTTCTGCTCAAATATCCTAAATTTCATTAATAATATTATGAAAACTTCAAATTTTCAGCCCATACTGTAGATAATAAACCTTGATAAATGATAAAACATTTCCAAGGTAAATATTTTATCTAATCTCTTAAAAGAAATCTATACATAATCAATAAAGTTGTATAAGGAGAGTTTTGTCAGTGGTCATAATATTCTGGCTGATCTGTGTGTGTTGTTTAGTAGTTTTGTGTGGGTAGTGAGTAGAATCACCTTTTATTACATGTTTTATCATAAAGCCGTTACATTTTACAGTAGTATTTCCTGTATGAGCTGCTGTTCAGTCATTTTAAGCTGAAGGTTTGATTGAGGCAAACATTGATCAGTAGCTTCTCTGTACCCTGCAGATCAACTGCTCAGTGTCGTTTATGATCGCGTCTCCTTTCGATGCAATTTTTTTAAGCTGGTTTATCACGTTTTACAAGTTTATTATTGATAAAGGATGATTTCTTTTAGGTTTGTGCTGTTGCCTTTTACCAGCTTGTTTGATATGATTTTAACATTCAATGCCTGTACACGATTTTAAATAAAGATGGTATCCAAATCTAACGCTGTTTTTTGTTTTTTTGAATCGGCAGATGAATGAAAAGAAGACATAAAACTCATCACATCTTGAATTTGGTTTATTTCAAACAGAACCAGATGTTTTTTTAAAGAGACCCAGAGTCTGTTTTTGACACTGAAGGAAGATTTCTGTGGATTACAGTTTGGTTGTGAGAAATAAATACAGAAGAAGGTAAAAACAATAAATTGGCAAACGGGTTCTTCACTTGAAGCTGTACCTTTAAAACCATAAAGGAAATGATATTAAGGCATTGCTTGTTTTCCATCTGAGCTGTGGATTCAATACAAAATTAGAGCGATCTTCAATAAAAGTCACTATTTTGAAATATATTTAGTGCAAAACAGCATTGCTACCTATCAGTGAAAGTTTCTTCTAACCATTGCTTAGGATATAAATGTGAAGGCACTAAAGTTGCACAAAAAACACAAATAAAAAAAAAAATCTTTTACTTTTACTTAAAAAGCAAGTTGGTATTTAGAATAATGCTAGCAGAGGCAGAAAGGGGGGGAAGGGATGATAGGGTGAGCGCTCACAGAGCAAGTTCTGCCATGGCCCGTTCCAATGGGTCACTGGTCCAGTAGTCGTGATCCCAGCCCAGGAACCAGCCGGTGAATGTGGGCGGCTCAAAGCCCTGCTTGATTTTGACAATAGGAGTCCGAGGGTCTCTGTTAGCCGGGTCGGTCTGGATGTAACGGACGGCTGAGGGGGGAGAGAAAATGTGACTGGATGTTAGATCAGAATCTCTCATTAAGGAAGCTCAGTGAGATATTCTATTAGGGGTTTGTAATGAGTGGATTTTTATTCAGCACCTTTTAATATAAATCCTTAAAAAATAATCCAGAGCAAAGTTTTAAAATAATCTCTCAAAATTTAAACATCTCATCGGAATCTGGAATTTGAGGTAAAATGCGCAGACCCAAACAAGGCAATCTTCCTAAGTCGACAGTCAGAGGATTGAACTGAAAGGGAGCCCAGGGGCCCTCTGTGATTGGAGGAGCTGTCCTCTGTGCTCATTTTAACCCCGTATCCCTGCTCCAGCAGAACCAACTTCAATGATTGCATCACCTAAAATGCTGCAGAAACCTGTGTTTCACAGTTTCAGTCAAGCTAGCAGGGAAACATCGAATCGAACACATGAAGGTCCGTGGGCCCCAAGGAGCACATCTGTAGACCTAGATGGTGCTCTGCTCAGCAGAGACCAAAATGCAACTTTTTTTAGCCAACAAGCAAAACATTTGGATTTGGTGGTTTTTTTGGCAGTTTGTTCTGGAATAGTTTACTATCTTCTGTCAGCAAACCTCCATTAGAAACCCTTTGTTGCTTTTTTCGAGATTAAAAACAGGTTTGTTAACATTTTTTTTCTTTCTTTTTTTTTAGCACATTTCTTTCTTTAGGTTCCTTTTTAGGCCTTTAGGCAGATAGAAAATGAGATCATAGAAGATATGCAGCAAAGGTCACCAGGCCGGGATCCAAACCTGTGACAGTCTTGTTTAGGATCAAACCCTCTCTACATGGTTCGCCTGTTTTACCCCTGCACCACCGCAGTGGCCAATGTTTCTCTTTTTATTCTTCTTAACTATTGTGTTGCTTTTCTTTTTCTCCTGCACAGCGCTTTGAATAGTCTCTCCACCGAAATGAGCTATATACAAAATCCTGCCTGTCCTATTTTTCAGTGGCCAACTCAGGAATCAGATCGGTGCGAAATTTCAAACTTTATGCCATTGCTAATATGAAGTGTGCAATAATGAGTTCTGCAGATATGTAAGAGCAACAGTATCTTTTATGCTCTTTTATGTCTATTTATGTCTAAATGTGCTAAATTACAGTAGGTGGAAATAAGTCAGATGCCAAAGTATGACTCTGTTAATTAATGTGTGCTGCCACTATTATAATAGAAAAATAACCTAAAGTCATAGAGGTGGCAGCATCATGCTGTGGGAAAGCCCCTGGAAGAGACTTGAGAATGCAATAAAGGCTGGATAATCCTAGCCATGCAGCTAGAGCTCCACTGGGCTGGTTTAAATCAAAACGAAGGACTCTAAGCTGGAAAGGCAGCAGGAGGTGGTTCAACAAAGTGTTGATCCAGGAGCACCGAATCCAAATTCTCATCTCATTTATTTTTTTCCTTCTCCTAGTTTTGGTCTGCGACATGAATCCCAATCAATCAGTTTGTGGTTATAATGTGTGCATATTCTTCGCCCAGGTCTGTTTTTTTTCCTACCAGACGCCATGGCTTCAGTTTTCTCCTCCTCCTGGGCTTCATTCCCGATCCAAACAAACACCTAAAATGAAAAAGATCCGGCTCAGCATTAATTTGCCTCATTATTTTCACAGTGCCTACAGGAATCGAGAGGTTTTCCTGTTGTTTACCTGCTCCCAGGTATCGAGGATCATGACATCATCAGTGGCTAGGTCATCTTGGGTCAACTCCCCGGGTACCTCTTCAATCTGTGTGGAGGGACGAATGCAGGGGTGAAGCGCTTTATAACCTTTGGTTTTCATTATAAAGGTGAAGCTAAAATCCAGTCTGCAGGAGTTTTTTTTTTTCTTTTCTGTTATGTCTGGAATATCTTATAATGATTTTTAGTAGCTTGGAAACACTTACGACAAAGTTCCCTGTCTTGTTGGAGCAGGCAAAGAGTCGTGGTGGGTGAGCATCCATCTTGTCCTTGAGTCTGGTGGAGGTGCGGTATTCTGCCTTCCCTCCCAGAGCGGACCAGAACTGATCTGGAAAAACAACATGATGATGCGTCAGGGATGTGTTTCTGTACCTATTAAAGACAGTCACTGTAGGAACTATTAGTTCTCCATAAAGTCATAATTATTGACACCCCTGCATTGTTGGGTAATGCTTTGTGCATCTTTTCATCTGAAGCAAATCAGCGTTTAGTTTTCACCTATAGAAAAACAATTTACAGAGAGAGGTTGTTAAAATCCTGGGTACTGCCTGATGCCCAGCCCTGAGGATTATTAAAGGATGTGGACTCAGACCCAGCAGGCTGGTTCTTGTTCTGAGAACCATTTATTTCTGCATTCATTTTATCATTTGGATCATTATCCTCTTATAAGACCCGATGATAACTGTGATCTATATTCTAGATCAGGGGTAACCAATTAAAAATCAGCGGCACCTCAATAAAGAAAATCATCAACCAGTAAAAGTCAAGGACATTTTTAATTATAATCTGTTACTTTAATCAGAATTTAACACTGAAATAAAATAAACTTCTTTTTTTTATCCATGTTAGAAAAGTTTTTTTTAAGCAGAGAACAGTTTGGTTTAGTTGGGTATACAGACAATTTCCTGATTCATATTTTTTAACACCTGAACTAACCGTTTATTATTTTTCTTTCTATCTTTTTTAATGGCTTAATGAGAGCAGTGGGCTTTATGCTGCCCTGCAAGGCTTTAAATTCAAAGCCCTTTTAAGAAAAACGTGACAAAAATTACATTTATAACCTCCTCCCTGAACAAAACCTAAAACCCCACCTGGGAGGAGCAAGTCATCATTTTCCTGTCAAGAAAACTATTGAAACATTTATTTTTCAAACTTCCTGAGGTAAAATCAATTCACACCTGAGTTCATTTTAAAAACTGACCGGTTTAAATAGACCTGCGTCTGACAGTCGTACCGCAAAAGAACAGGAAGGTTTCAGGAAACAATGCCGATGCCTCACCAGTTTCTCCTCCCTCAGAAAGCTCGGAGGAGGCCGACACGCCCAGGATGTCACACAGCTGCTGAGCTCCCTGCTTCTCTGAGTCGCTGGCACCCGTTCCCACCCACAGAGAGGTACCATCGGGGGTCACAAGAACGAAGACGTCATTGGAGTTCAGGTTGGACGCCGTCGCTTCAAGCTGGGGGAACACAAACATTCTGCAGTTTAACATCCAAACCTTTAAAGCTCTTTCCTTCTTTCTAAACAACATAAAATTTCTGCGTGGTTCTTTCAGCGCCTCATGGAGATTATAGAGGACAGAAGAGTCCGTGCTTCGCAGTGAATGTCCTAACGGGACACGTTGACAATCCACAGTCAAACAAGAGCAAATGGTGTTCGGGGACTATTTTCAGCAGCGGATTAATACAGATCTAGCAGATTTATCATGCCAGCAGGACAGTGCTTCAAAATAGACCACAGCCTTTCTGATAATAACAGAACAGACCTCTTAGTTCAACACTGTGCCTCACAAATGTGTTTCTAATCTGCTCTGAGGCACAAAGGGCTGAGTTCTCCCCCAGCTTAGCAGGTTGGAGCCGCTCTCTGCTGGCATCCGTCCTTTTCATGGGATAAATATTACACTGAAGCTGGTAAAAAACATAAAAAAACACAGTCTGTTGTGAGGTCAGATGATGAATGATGTCTGATTGCTTACCTCCACGGCTCTGGTGTGCCCTGTCGAGTTGGAGCGCACCTGGAAGAGTCGAGTCTCCGCCGGGGCGGACTGACCTCCGTCCCGGGACGTTCCTCCCCTGTAGACCACCATGGGCTTTCCTCCAAACAGGCTCATGAGGTGGGCTGGCTCCTTGCCCTGGACCACCCTCACCTGGTGCACAAACACCAACATTAAACTCTGGAGCCAGTTGAGTCAGCTGCTACATACATCACATAGACCTCATGCAGCTTTGGTGTTGCAGGTTATTTAATCACAGGACTTTAAAAAGAAAAAAAGAAATATTGGGTCATTTCAATTAATTGGAATATCATCAAACAGACAGTGATATTACCTTAACAGTCATGGTTTTCAGCTAATGAAGTGCTGCAACTTTACCATGATCTTTTTTGCTTATGCCGATTATTTGTCCCAAACGTTTTCCTTCCACTCAACTATTTATTAATATGCCTCCAAAGCTTAAAGAGCTCCTTGTGGAAGGTTTAAATGACTGTTTGTCGAACAAAAGTCAAGTCAACAACCTTCCCTAATAATCTGCAAAGCATGACATATATTAATTAATATGTCATGTTAGATTTATGTGTTAATGTCCTTGTTTGAACCATTTTTGCAGAATTGTTTTCCAAATATATCCTTTTTTTTTGTATTTATTTTTTGGAGTATATGTTTTTTTTTTACATTGTCAAATGAATTACCAAAATTAATGTACTTTTTGATGATACTTCAACTTATTGAAATGTACCTGTCAGATCTCTGCTGCAGTCTTCTTTACCAACACAAGATGGCAACACAGAGTTAAGCATTGCAGTTCTACAGATGAGAGCTGTTAAAAGTTGCAGTTAGGACTCTAAAGTTATGTCTAACATCCTAATATATGCCTCTTCTACTGCATATCTATAGTTATGAGGAGCTTCAGTCAGTAGCACACTGTCAACAACTCAAATGAAGCTTATCCTGACGTGCACAGGCAGACCGAGGAAAGATAAATATTTAGAGATGAGTGTGGATCAGAACAGACAGGAAGAATCGGTTCAGTATTTAGTTTGACAGAACAGACTGACATGTTTTGTCCTTTTCTACATTTGCATCAAATATTTGTAACATGCACTCGTAGTGGCTGGTGATTTAGTTTCCTTCTCAATTCAAGCATATTTTCAGCACAGAATAGAAAGCTCAGATAAATGTAGGAGTGAAATGGATCCTTTTTGCAACATTTTAAGGGATTGTTTTGCCAAAACTACATTTATACAAGGGGATGGCGAAACTTAACTTGTGTAAAACACAGAGATGACATCCTCAAAGCCCCAATCAAATATTTAAAGTATTTCAATCAGACAGAGATCCTGACTTTGTTTTAGCTTCTTTTCTTATTTATATTTTTTTTTGTTCTAATTTTCTGCAGTTATCGAGATCATTGTTCTGCTGAAGACGCATTTCAGCTTCTGACAGAGAGCCACCCAATTTTCCCCTTGAATATTTTAGTGAACAAAAGATTTCACTGTTGATTTCAAGACTCCAAAGTGCCCACATCCCCACACCGCCACCTTCGTGCCTAACTGATTCACTGTTTTCTGTTCTCTCCTGTCATGGTCTGTGTGTAAAAGCCAGATTTTTCTGCTTTGGTCTCTTCTATCTCACAGGAAATGATCCAGAATCGTCAGTGTTGTGCTGCCATATTCTTTTTAAAGACAATAGGCTTCCTCCCCAGTTTTGTTTCTGTTTGCCTTGTCCTGAACATTAACTACAGTTACCAAAACTGTGTCCTGTAGTTTCTGAGCTTTATTCTGATCTCAGGATGAATTTACTGAGACATCCACTTCTGCAAATACTGCTAGCTCATTTTTTCCACTTGTGAGTAATCCTTCTTGCTGTAGAATGATGGACTTAAATAGTATTTATGCCATAAGAAGTTTCTTTAAGGATATTCCTGATGTCTTTTTAACCCGTTTTGTGTTAACACCGAAAAGATCCTCCACTGTTAATGGCTAAAGCATCAAATGTTAAGTAATGGAAGCAGCGAGGATATAATTGGCTTATATTGCAAAAAAAAAAAAAAAAAAAGTTATTTTCTTGATATTACTGAAAGAGAGTGTACTTTTTTCCACATGTCTGTGTGAAAATATATTTTGTAATAGGATTTCCATCAGAAAAAGGATGAATCAATAATCAGCTTTAAATGGGTTAGCTTTACCTTCTGCTTCAAAGGAAAAAAAATATATAAAATTATAATACTGGCTCCACATCAACGAGTTCAGAGGTTGGAATCAGAACTGGTGGGAGCGTCTTACTCACTACCACACCCCTTTTTATTGTTCGCTCAGGTGAAACATGCACTAAGAAGGTTAAACTAGAGTCTCTTTGCATGGAGTAATGAGTAGCAGGAGGGAGTGGGGGAAATACCTGAGTGGTTATTGGAGCACCAACAACCTGAGGAGGAAGGCAGGGCAGAAACCAAGGAGCAAAGAAGCAGCAGGAGAAAAACAATAAAAGGGAAATGGTAAGGAAAGGATGCACAGATCAAACAGGAGGTGGCAGCACTGAGTAGGCCATGGAGGAGAATATGAATGTAAGCCTTTGAAAACAGAAAGTCACCACATGAAGGACAGGTTATACCTGCACAGGACCTCCACCGAGCTCATCATCCAGCTGGGAGGTCAGGATGGCGCAGGTGCCAATCTCATCCTGACTGGAGTCTGTTCCCTGCCTGAAAAAGCAAACTTCTTGAGTGGATGATCATGGGTTACAGCTAACAGAAATTAAATTCCTTAATCGGACTATTACAAAGAACGATAATAATGATTTTGAAAACAGAAATGTTTGTGTGAGAACCAATAACACAACCTGGGGCAACTTTAGAAAAATAAAAAGAGCTGATGGGCAAAGAGAAGACTGTTGGGCCGATCCAGACTCTAAAATTGAGATCCCAGAGTGTGAAGAAAGAGAAGAGAGGTGCAGAATCCAAAATTAACTTTTTATGAATCTATGCAAGATTGTCGAGAGGAAAATTTTATGCCAGAACCACCAATGCAGACGAGCTGAAGGCTGGTTTAATAACAGGCTTATCGCCTTCATATCACACTGCAACATTGCTGTATTTATGCAAAAGGAGTTGCAACCAAATACTGAGAAAATATAACTTGGTAAATGGACATAAGGATTTATCCCCATTTCTGTATAAAAAAAATCCAGATTATTGTTCTAATGTAAATCTTTATATATATACTTGCAATCTACACATGTGCAAAAGTCCGCCTAATAAACAACTTTCACAGTTTGAACTGGATCACCAAAGAAATTCACTTCTTGGGGAAAAAGACATCAAAAAGTTCACATTAAGCTGAAGCTTGACTTCTCACCACATGTAGATGATGTGTCCCTGTCGTCCTCCATGGCTGTAGTTGTAAAGGATGATGTAGCTGTCACCTCCGTAGAACTGTCCGTATGTAGACGGATCAACCGCAACCTTATCGGATCCCTCGATGCGCCAGATCTGCCATGGTTAGGAACAAATATATCCCATTTAATCAAGAACCACTTTAATGTGCGATCACTTATTTCCAGCTGCAACAAGCTTTTAATAATAAGTTTTAAGTTAATGATTTGAAACTTTTATGTCTGTTCTTGTGATATACTTGTTTACATACTTTCTTGCTCTATTTAAGTGGCTTCTTCTAGTATCTGGGCATTACTTGACTGTTTATTATGAGTGATTTCATTTAAACACAAATATGTACTTTCACCTCCTTACTTTCTCAAAACTGGCTCCTTACTTCTATGCATATTGACGACAACATGAGAAAACAACTGCAATTACACAGAAGGAAAATCTGGATCAGTCCATTTTGTTTACTGAAAAAAACTGATAGAAACATGGATGATCTATATTATTCAGTCTGAAATTATAATTTAGAGCAAATTTAGAACAAGTCTGTTTTTTTTTATGTTCTCTCTACCAACACAGTGAGCAAAAGAGGAACATATTTTTTGTGTGTGTATAGAACTTTAAGAATATTTTATAAAAATTTGTATCAATTAGGGGAAAAATAATCATCTTACTTTTGTACTTAATCATTAATAATTATTAATTATTTTACTTTTGTACAATAAAGAACCTATAGTTTTTTAACAGGTGTCTGTACTTTCGCTTTCATGGGCGGTTCTAGACAGGGGCAAGCAGGGGCCAGTGCCCCAGTAGACCTGATCCTGGGATCGTCCTATTCCCCTGCGATATTAAATCAATTTCTATGTTTCTTTGTTGACTGGATCCTTGGACCAATTTTATTTTTTTTAAGTTTTATTTCAAAAATGATTTAAAAATGAAGATTTTGCACTTTTAGATTCAATTGTATTGAGATTAGATGATGTTCTTCACCAATTGCAGTTTTCGCGATGATAACCGATTATTAAAAAGACATGCTGATTCGGATTATGATTGACATTTCCTTTCTAACAGTTGTTACAGAATCACAGTAGACTTTACATTATTTAACCCTTTGACTGCCCGGTCATCCTTCAACCTGCATTTTTATCACTTTACTTGGATTTTCCCTTTATTTGGATTTAGTTTTTACATATGCATATATATATAAATATATATATATATATATATACATACAGATATATAGACAGAAGAGCTATATGTGTATATATATTTTAACACTTTTTATTCTTATTTTTGTTTTATCTTTATTATATTGTATAGTTGGATGCGTGTATATTACATAAAACTGTAACTGGAGTGTGTAACAAAAGTAATTTCCCTCTGGGATTATTAAAGTATTTCTGATTCTAATTCTGATTCTGATTCTGATTTTTCTGAGCAAATAGCTGACTAGGCAGTAAAAGGGTTAATATTTTTTTCAAAGCAATACCTGTGAAACAACAAAAGCTTGTATTCATTACATAAGATAACACTTTTAATTATAAAAAAGTTTAAAGCATTGACAGAGACTTATTTCAGACCACTCCAGAGGTAGAAAATATCAATTTCAAGTATTGGAAAATTATCAAAATGAAGGAAATCGATAAATCTACATTTTCTCTTCCATGTTTGGCATCTCCAGAGCTGCAATCGGCTCTTTGGTCCTATTTCTCACTTAATATATAAAAAAATTAACTGAATCAGCTTTCATTTGCAATCTGCATCCATATGCTGATATATTCTGACGTCTTTCTGCATGTTTCGTGTTAACTCACCTTGCTGTATTTGCTGTTATCTAATACACTGACATGTTGAGAGGTGTTCATCATAATGAGCCAATCAGCGTCTCACCTGTTTCTCTCCGCTGCCGTCATCCACCATGCCATGCTGGGCGGCCATGGCGGAGGACTGGTGTAGGCTGGCGGCGTCGAAAGGCACCTTCTCGATCTTGGCGATGCTGTTAGCGATGTATGCTACACCCAGACCCTCTGTCTGGTCTTTGTCGCGCCAGTTTTTGAAGAACTGCTTGAAGAGCGGCGTCTCGCCCATTTCTGGCAGGATCTGGACTTCAGTGTGTTTTGGATAGCCCATCTTCTTGATGAACTCGTCAGCTGCCTTCATCGCCGCCTTTCGTTCATCCATGTTGGCATCTTTGCCTGGAGAGTTTAAAAAAAGACACCAAAACATATTCTTATTTACTTTTTTTAACTGCTGGGAGAAATATTTCCTCTGATTGAGCTTAAACTGACCTTTCCAGACAAAGATCTTTCCATCCGATCCATGGTCCAGAATGAAGCAGTCCCCGGACTCCAGCGCGCTCTGAGCAAACGGGTTCTCTGCTGCTACCAGAGTGATATTCATGCCACCGCTAGCATTGGAAACCTGCAGCAAACAAAGCAGCAAAGCAATAAGAATTGAAAATTTATTGTTTTTGTTAATGTTTCCTTAAATTGGACTACAAACAAGTTTTTACCAAACAGGTTGTTGACAAATTTAACATTAACAAACTTTAACATTAATACTTGAAGAAGATATATTATTTTTTAACTGCAAATAATGTTTAGCCAGTAAAAAAAATATGTATCAATTTCTAATACTGCTTATGTTTTTATGAATTATAAAACTCTCTTAAGCAAATGTATGAAACTGCTGTTTTGGTTAAAATACAAATGTCTAATGAGGTTGAAATAAATTGCTTGTTAACTTCTGATCTCCTACAAGAAATATTAAAGCTGATGAAAACCGATTTAATGGAGCTTCATTTTCAAAAGGTTATATATATACATTTAGGATCTTCTGACCATTTTTCCAGAAAAAAAAAGAGAAGTCAGAAACCGATGGCAGACAAGACCCTGCAGCTTACACTCTCCACTCTAACTGATCCCAAAAATGATCCGTTGGGTTCAGGTTCAGACTCCATCCAGTGTCAAACAGATCTATGTCTTGTTAGAACACAAAGTGGGCATTCCTAAATGGTCGAAACAAACCTAAAAGCACAACTTTGTGCAAAATTCTTGGCTGTGCCAAAGCACTAAGAGTGTCATTCTCTGGAACATAGAAGTTAAGTCAAAGTCCTGTAAAAAAAGGGCCACAATGTTTCCCTTTTTTTACCAAACTCTAGATAGGAGACAGCTCTGTCAGGCCACATCCAGTCTTTAGGCAGCTGCCCAAAGTCAGACTCATCCACTGGACAGTTAGACAGAGGAATGATTTATCACTACAGAAAACATGTCTACTTTGTCTTAGAGTCTTTTGGTGGAGTTCTTTATATTGCATTTATGATCCAAGGATTGGATAAAATCAGTTGAACGTAAAGCCCATTTCATGAATTTCCCTTCTACAATGGACCACCTAAAATCTGGAGCTGCATGGCTATTAGTTGAAGCTACATCTGCACAGCTTGCACCTCAGCTTCTACTGACCCTATACTTGATATCATGTGAACTAATCCTGTTATCACATCCGAAAGCTTCCACTCTGTTGGTTTATTACTGGCTGGACTGATAGCACAGGTGTCATCCTTAAACAATATATGTGTTTTATTACCTCTTTCTTCATAAATCAGGGGAAGTCTTGACATTGTAAAATGTTCAGAAAGAAGAAGTTAGCTTTTAGTGTTATTGTTCTCTATTGATTGGGTCTATATAACCTTCATACATGTGGATCCTTTATAAGGTTCCCTCTTGTAACTCTAGAAATAATTAATGAAGGATTGAGAACTGTAGAAAATATGAACAAAGAAAGTGATTGTTTGATTTTATTAGGGCTGGGCAATTAAATAGCATTTGCAATATTTTCTCAGTTTAACAAATAGCAGAGGAGCTCAATTTTAGTTACATTATATTTAACAGGAGTACGATACTCACTGTCTCAATCCAGCCCTCTAGGTGGCGGTAATGCACTAAAAGTAGGTTTTCTACTAAATAAAAGGAAAAGAGTTGCAGCTAACTTGCATTTCCATGCATGTAAGTAGAGTTAAGCAACAATTCCTGCAACAATAGGCTCTATGCACAGCTCCACTACTTCCTGAATTTAAGGCAGCTCCTTTGTTTCCTGTCTTTCATTACTGGACGAACTGATTAATCCAGG